ATGAGGTAAATAGGACACTGGGATTTATTAATCGAAGCGTTAGTAACAAGACACCTGGTATTGTTCTTCAGTAATATCTTGCTCTGGTTAGGGCCCCATTTAGATTATTCAGTTCAGTTTTGGTCGCCGTACTATAGAATGGATATAACATAAGAACAAGGCAACTGCAGAAGGCCTATACGAGGCAGCTCCTATTTATAACCACCCAATCCCACTCATATACATGTCCAACCCATGCTTGAAACAATCGAGGGATCCCACCTCCACATTGAAAATAAGAACAAAGGCAACTACAGAAGGTCTATTGGCCCATACGAGGCAGCTCCTATTTATAACCACCCAATCCCACTCATATACATGTCCAACCCATGCTTGAAACAATCGAGGGACCCCACCTCCACCACGTTACACGGCAATTGGTTCCACAAATCAACAACCCTGTTACTGAACCAGTATTTACCCAAGTCTTTCCTAAATCTAAACTTGTCCAATTTATACCCATTGTTTCGTGTTCTGTCTTGTGTTGATATTTTAATACCCTATTAATATCCTCCCTGTTATGTCCATTCATCCACTTGTAAACTTCTATCATGTCACCCCTAACTCTTCGCCTTTCCAGTGAATGCAACTTAAGCTTGGTTAATCTTTCTTCATATGAAAGATTTCTAATTTGGGGAATTAACTTAGTCATCCTACGTTGGACACGTTCAAGTGAATTCATCAATCAATTTATTTTTTATGAAATGGGAGACATCTCCAGTCACGCAGGGTGCAGTCGCACCTCAACAGATCTTCAGTATCATCTATTGGTACTAATAATGGCTCAAAAGGGCCACCACTTATGGGCTATTCATGCCCGTGCCACCTTTTGGGTGGCTTAATCTTGATGGCATTATAGGTGGCATCAATCAATCAATTTATTTTCACTTGAGAATGAACCATGCGTTGAGGATGTAACACGGGTTCGAGTCCCTCACTCTTTACTTCTCTACCTTCTACTCCCTCTACCCGTATTCTTACTTTTTATTCTCTACCAAGGGACTCCAAAACTTTTACCAAAGCCAACTCCACGCCACGTGGTCCTAAGACGATTGACCGACTTAGGATTCTACACCCAGTATGACGTGACCTAAGCTCTGAGCAAAACCCTAGAGTCACCTCTGCTGCCACCACCAGACCAGTAACACAGAGCAATGATCGAGGTCTGGATCGATCACGCTAATTAATCAACCTTGGGGCTTGATCCCCACTAGTAGTTTATAACCTCGGAAACTTGAGTGTGGAATTAATTACACGGGAATGATTCGATGTTAGAATCGGCGCCCAATCCAACTCTGCCTCGTGTGGACCACGTGACCAGGACAAGTATACACATAACCAAATGGAAACAATAAAATGCAAATTAATAACAAATTTAATTTATTAAAAGAAAACTAAAACAAAATCTAAATATGTTCACTCCCTGTCACTTTAACACTCCCTACTTGACCTGAATGGCAAATGAGACTATTTCTATACATAACCATAGCAACTATACCTTGGGCGACCAGCTCTAGCTGTTGTGCTGGTCTTGGGGAGAGGTAAGATGGTTGACCTCTCCCAGCTGCTCCCGTATTCACACTGATCTGTCCTCGTCTGATCTCGCCCAGACTAGAACATTGTATTGTTCCGCATCGCTTACCCAGTTACTTTAGCAAGGTTAAGTTATAACAATTATCCTCTGTTTATACTGAATTGATCCAGACTGGTTGAATTATTTTACTTTAATTAGATTACACAAACATCTAACGGCAAAGCTGTTCCCGATCACAAAAATGGTTATTAAAACTTTGAGAAATATTAGACATGTCAACCCTGCTGACCTATGACCGCCGGTCACTCCGCCTTAAAAGTTAGATCTGATTCGTGACGTCACTGATGGTGACTTAAACTCAATAATTAGAATACTCTTGATATTGTATCCAGTACTATTATACAATACAATTTTAATGCAAAATGAATAAAGGCTAATTTTCTCTAAATTACTGAATACTATAGGATGATTCATTATACGCAGCTATGAACAAAGCGTCGGTTATTTCCACCGCGAATTCCCCTGGGGGTCAGGTCACCATGCGGCTCAGCTTCCCATTCTCTTTTGTCGATAAACCACTCTGGATAATTCTTACAACAGCCTAGTTTGTTACAAGGAGAACCATGAGAATGAGGAGTGCGTTCGCAGCAGGTTTTCTTTTAAACATGTCTCATTGAATATGGCCGCAGATTCAGTATTTACTATCATCTGGTTTAGGGCTTCTATCCCTCTAATTATTTTCCTAGCATCAGAGCTTAGCTGAAAGAGGAGTTCTCAAAAAACTCATTTCCGTTATTTCAAGGTGAATAAAAATAGTTAATTACTATAGAATGTATTACACATTATTTATACAAATTGCACAAAGTTTCGAACCACTATGGTTCATTCTCAAGTGAAAATAAATTGATTGATGCCACCTAAAATGCCATCATGATTAAGCCACCCAAAAGGTGGCACGGGCATGAATAGCCCATAAGTGGTGGCCCTTTTGAGCCACCACTTGAGCATATATATATATGTATATATATATATATATATATATATATATATATATATATATATATATATATATATATATATATATATATATATATATATATATATATATATATATATATATATATATATATATATATATATATATATATATATATATATTATATATATATATATATATATTTATATATATATATATATTTATATATATATATATATTTATATATATATATATATATATATATATATATATATATATATATATATATATATATATATATATATAATATATATAATATATATATATAAATATATATATATATATATATATATATATATATATATATATATATATATTTATATATATATATATATATTTATATATATATATTTATATATATATATATATATATATTATATATATATATATATATATATATTTATATATATATATATATATATTTATATATATATATATATATATATATATATATATATATTTATATATATATATATATATATTTATATATATATATATATATATATATATATTTATATATATAGTGTGTGTGCTAAATGACAGTGGTCCCAGGACAGAGCCTGGGGCACTCCAGTTACACTTACATCTTTTTTCCATTTTGAATTAACACCATTTACACTACCACTCTATTTCTTTAGTTATAGCTATACCCTAATCCATGTTTATAAAGCACTCTTAATACCGTGAGACTCTATCTTTTTAATCAGTCTTTCATGTGGCACTGTATCAGAGTCTTTGCTAAAGGCAAGGTACGCACTTCACAACTGCCTTAACTTAGCTTGAATAAAATGATGAAATTTTTTTTAAACATGAATGGCCATATGTTAAACCATGTTGTGAATCATTTATTAATTTATATTTTCTACATGAAGACGAATGGTATTTGCATATCAATTCTAGTAATTTTCCTACAATAGACGTTAGGCTAATTGGCCGATAGTTTTACGCAAGTGATCAATCTCTTTTCTTAAAAAAAAAATGTCACCTCTTTAGCAACCTTCCATGACTCCGGCACTCTGTCTGACAAATGATTTATTAAATATGGTAGACTGGCTCGAAAAGCTCCCTTTTGCATTTTTTAAACACCCTGAATAGGTCCATTAAAAGTTCTTCGTCCGTCACTGGGGATTTGTTTGGTTTGAGTTCCCTATTTCCTCAATAACATCCTCAATGGTAACAGCTAAACTAGTCAACCTATCCTCGTCCCAACACACATAGACTTGTTTGGCTGAAGGCATAGTTTTAAGTTCCTCTTTAGTAAATACAGAGATAAAATATATATTAAAAATACTACTCATCGCTTTGTCATTATCTGTTATCTGACCAATGTTAACTTTTAATGGACCTATCCTCTCACTAATCTTTGTTCGAATTAACTGAAAAAAACTTTAGGATTTGTCTTTGCTTGCCCTGCTATGGGAACTTCGTAATTTTTTTTTCCCCCGTTATCTCTGTTTTTTAAGGTGCATGTGGAGACTTTTCCAAATATTAAATATAGTAAAAAAAATTTCCCGTTATTTGGCATCAGCGTCGTAAAAAATTCATCCCTATATGTTAAGAAATGGATTTCTTACGAATTTTTTTTTAAATGCGTGCGCGAAGAGCAGCTGCCAGTAGTGGTAACACCTCCTTCATTTTGCTTCTTAGACTCCTACTGTTTGTGTGAAATATACCCTAATTATATTGTTAATATACCTGACTGAATTATGATAAAAGAAGAAGATAGCATATTTGTTACAAACGGCCGTTAGCAAAACCACGTTGTGAGTCATTAATTATTCTTTTTTCAAGATGCAGAGGAATGGCTTTTGCAATTGTCGATTCAAGCAATTTTCCAAAAATAGACGTTAGGCTAATTGGGCAATTGCTGGAAGAAAGGAACGCCAGAAACGCTGCGCGTGCTAGTTGCTTTACAAGACTGTAATTACCATATTTGTATCCTCACATTCCTTATGTACATTCTTGTATATGCAAAATTTAATAAATAAATAAATAAAGTGATATATCTTCTTTTTCGCAAAATGGTTCAATCCACGATTCCGGCACTGAATAGCAATATGCCAGAAATGGCCCTCATCTTTTCCCTTAAGCCACAGAATGGAAGTGAGGGAATTCGATTCTTTTTAAATGAAGAATAGTTACTGTTGGTTTGAGAAAGCAAATATTGAAATGGAAAATTTGAAACTTTCCATATACTTTATTGTAAAGGTACACTTCTACTTATGTGCAGTGGCTAAAGAAAAGACAACTTGAGCTTCAAACTAATTTTGATACACTATTATAAAGTCAAGTACATAAATACTAAACATATATTCATGTAAATAACTACAACATCAAGTGGAACATCATTATATAAAAAGACCGGTTGTTACATTAGCTAAATACCTGCCTTCACTCGGAGGTGAAGGAGTAATGATAGCCGTCCGGGTTGACGACAGGCACGATGTACCACTCCGTCCTCTTCAGCAGGTCTCGCCAAGAATCGTCTGTAATCAAAAGGTTCAGGATATACAGAGAGACGGCAGGAGAGATCCATTCACGAGCATGGATACCTGGAACAACGGGATAGAGATTGGGAAATAATTAGCTATTATTTTATATTGTCACTTATCATTATTAACTCTATTATCTTACTTATAATTGTTATATACGCAATATGTTATATACACTGTATTGCTAACTCTATTGGCTATTCAGGACGAACAAGCTCCTCTCTCTTACCAGCTTCGATCCAGATCTTTGTCTTGGGTTCATCGGAGAATGGATCTGTGACTTTAATCACCAGGACTTGGCGCCCCTCCTCCGTGGTGGCTGCCGTTAGCACCTGCACGAAGCAGCCTCCCATTTCCTTCACCCAGTTTATGAACTTCTCGACGTCTGCCGTATTGTGGTAGACGTTCCAATCCATCGGATGTTCTGTGGGATTCGTTGGGTTATAATATAAAAAACTGTAAACCTTATGCAATATATCATTAACAACATATAGTATGAGGTATTAAAATCTATTGTTCTAGTTTTGTTTAAATTTATGACAATAAGAAAGAGGATTTCCACAGTTTCTTAGCAAACATCTTACATATACGTGAAATATATGGACAGTGTAAATTCTACTAAATCAATCAAATTTATTTATATTCTCAATCATATGCAAATTGGGTATTTAGGCGAGCATGTATTTACCTCTGTTGTTTTTGGTTGTCTCCATAAAAATCCGCTCCTGCTGCACCAGACTCATCACATCCTCCACCTCCACCTCATCTCTGAGGACTCCAGCACCTGCTGTACCAACGTACTCCTACAGGTCGAGCTTACCAGAATCTACAAAGATGACGCATGATTATGAGTGGCCCTCCAATATACTATAAATTACAAAACCACACACATGAAAATGAAGCAACGACAACGTTTCGGCCAAGTATATACACAATTCATGCAAGAAAGTTGTCTGACAGCAAACAGTTCACTTACCTGGGCGTGGGTTGTATTGTCGCCCCAAATATCGAAGTAACCGCCGTTTTCTAGTTCCCGGATCACATCGTTATTTTTTAACACGTCAACACTCCACATCTGTCCACAAACAACATGTTAGATAAAACCTCTACATTTTTGTGGTATTGTGTGCCACAACCCACCACAGTTCCCGACTTCACGGGTACCTATATACTGTTAGATACAAATCTAACTGATGTTAGACAAATCCCAAAGGTTTTCATATAAAAGAAAGATTAATCAATTTACATGGAAATATATGTCTGCTGAGACTGATGGATGCCCACTACTCTCGTAAAAGAAAAGTAAACTTCAGTATGCATTTAAAATTGTTTCGCATAAATAATGCCTTACGTTGTTGAAAGAATGACACTTAAAATTCAAAACCAATAGACACTATTAATGGCGTAAATCACGAAGTAATTACCACGAGATAAATAATGAAAGAAACTCACCTGAATGCTTGCATCGCCCTGGACGAGCGTAGCCAAACACAGGCAAAACAGGCAGCATCTTGGAATACAACAAGCACTGCGGAGACACAAGTACTTAAACCTTTAATCCTTGGTGACACTAAGACACAGAAGCACAAGATGCGAGATTATGCTTCCAGTCGCAGCTTATATTGGCCGGTAAAGGTGAGATTGTAGGGACAGGTGTAATTGGTCCCGCTAGAGTAACGGGTAACATGATTAAAGTATTCAATTTACTGAGAGGGGTATAACAAAAGGAATATAAAAAAGCTGTAAATATAAGAGCAGTTAGTAAATTGGATAAAGTTTGATTTAGAAAATACCTGGGTAAATAGTGGTTTAGAAATGTGATAGTAGATTTCAGGAAAAAATTATCATACCGGATATTGGATCGCTGCAGTGTTTTATATATGAATTTGAATTATACATGAATCAACATCTATTACGTTAATAGTTATGTCTTTAGTAGATTAAACACACTATTTCAAAACCAGTATTTTCGTGTGATTTTCCTGTGTCTATCTTTCCCAATTTATATCCATTGTTTCTTGTTTCAGTTGGTACTGATGTTTTAATATCTTTGTATGCTCATTTCCAATATGTATAAAAACAAAATAATGAAAAAAACTTAAAAAGGAATGTATTCCACCATACGAGGCCGCTCTTATTTATATTCAACAAAACTCGTTCATATTATATATCTAATCTAAGAACATCAGATCATACATATACAAAAATCGGTAAGTAGGGAAATTAACAGGAAAGAAGACTCACTATCACTTCAAGTTTATCTAAATAGGGTTTTGAAATGGTCAAAAGATTAGTAGATGCAGTTTTATGCTGATAAATGTAAAGTTCTGAGGCTAGGTAATGATGATAAATTTACAAGTACGAGCTAGACGGTGTTGAGATTGCGAAGTTTGATTGCGAAAGGGATCTGGGTGTTACGATTAGTAAGAATTTAAAACCAAATTATCAATGCATGAATGTTCGAAATGAGGTAAATAGGACACTGGGATTTATTAATCGAAGCGTTAGTAACAAGACACCTGGTATTGTTCTTCAGTAATATCTTGCTCTGGTTAGGGCCCCATTTAGATTATTCAGTTCAGTTTTGGTCGCCGTACTATAGAATGGATATAACATAAGAACAAGGCAATTGCAGAAGGCCTATACGAGGCAGCTCCTATTTATAACCACCCAATCCCACTCATATACATGTCCAACCCATGCTTGAAACAATCGAGGGATCCCACCTCCACATTGAAAATAAGAACAAAGGCAACTACAGAAGGTCTATTGGCCCATACGAGGCAGCTCCTATTTATAACCACCCAATCCCACTCATATACATGTCCAACCCATGCTTGAAACAATCGAGGGACCCCACCTCCACCACGTTACACGGCAATTGGTTCCACAAATCAACAACCCTGTTACTGAACCAGTATTTACCCAAGTCTTTCCTAAATCTAAACTTGTCCAATTTATACCCATTGTTTCGTGTTCTGTCTTGTGTTGATATTTTTAATACCCTATTAATATCCTCCCTGTTATGTCCATTCATCCACTTGTAAACTTCTATCATGTCACCCCTAACTCTTCGCCTTTCCAGTGAATGCAACTTAAGCTTGGTTAATCTTTCTTCATATGAAAGATTTCTAATTTGGGGAATTAACTTAGTCATCTTACGTTGGACACGTTCAAGTGAATTCATCAATCAATTTATTTTTTATGAAATGGGAGACATCTCCAGTCACGCAGGGTGCAGTCGCACCTCAACAGATCTTCAGTATCATCTATTGGCACTAATAATGGCTCAAAAGGGCCACCACTTATGGGCTATTCATGCCCGTGCCACCTTTTGGGTGGCTTAATCTTGATGGCATTATAGGTTTTTTTTCTCTCAGGCTTGTTCGCATTTGTGTTCCTCACGTGTGCCCCAAAGAATGAGGTGATTTGGTAAAATGCTATGCCCAAGACTACTATCCGAGTGCCGGCGGTGGGGTGGTTCAAATAGCTTAGGCTATCACCTCATTATGTCCGGTCGTGATGGTCAAGTGGATTAAGGCGTCTTGTACATACCAGTTGCGTTGCTTCTGGGAGTATGGGTTCGAGTCACTTCTGGGGTGTGAGTTTTCAGTTGCATATTGTCCTGGGGACCATTCAGGCTTGTTCGCATTTGTGTTCCTCACGTGTGCCCCAAAGAATGAGGTGATTTGGTAAAATGCTATGCCCAAGATTACTATCCGAGTGCCGGCGGTGGGGTGGTTCAAATAGCTTAGGCTATCACCTCATTATGTCCGGTCGTGATGGTCAAGTGGATTAAGGCGTCTTGTACATACCAGTTGCGTTGCTTCTGGGAGTATGGGTTCGAGTCACTTCTGGGGTGTGAGTTTTCAGTTGCATATTGTCCTGGGGACCATTCAGGCTTGTTCGCATTTGTGTTCCTCACGTGTGCCCCAAAGAATGAGGTGATTTGGTAAAATGCTATGCCCAAGATTACTATCCGAGTGCCGGCGGTGGGGTGGTTCAAATAGCTTAGGCTATCACCTCATTATGTCCGGTCGTGATGGTCAAGTGGATTAAGGCGTCTTGTACATACCAGTTGCGTTGCTTCTGGGAGTATGGGTTCGAGTCACTTCTGGGGTGTGAGTTTTCAGTTGCATATTGTCCTGGGGACCATTCAGGCTTGTTCGCATTTGTGTTCCTCACGTGTGCTCCAAAGAATGAGGTGATTTGGTAAAATGCTATGCCCAAGATTACTATCCGAGTGCCGGCGGTGGGGTGGTTCAAATAGCTTAGGCTATCACCTCATTATGTCCGGTCGTGATGGTCAAGTGGATTAAGGCGTCTTGTACATACCAGTTGCGTTGCTTCTGGGAGTATGGGTTCGAGTCACTTCTGGGGTGTGAGTTTTCAGTTGCATATTGTCCTGGGGACCATTCAGGCATGTTCGCATTTGTGTTCCTCACGTGTGCCCCAAAGAATGAGGTGATTTGGTAAAATGCTATGCCCAAGATTACTATCCGAGTGCCGGCGGTGGGGTGGTTCAAATAGCTTAGGCTATCACCTCATTATGTCCGGTCGTGATGGTCAAGTGGATTAAGGCGTCTTGTACATACCAGTTGCGTTGCTTCTGGGAGTATGGGTTCGAGTCACTTCTGGGGTGTGAGTTTTCAGTTGCATATTGTCCTGGGGACCATTCAGGCTTGTTCGCATTTGTGTTCCTCACGTGTGCCCCAAAGAATGAGGTGATTTGGTAAAATGCTATGCCCAAGATTACTATCCGAGTGCCGGCGGTGGGGTGGTTCAAATAGCTTAGGCTATCACCTCATTATGTCCGGTCGTGATGGTCAAGTGGATTAAGGCGTCTTGTACATACCAGTTGCGTTGCTTCTGGGAGTATGGGTTCGAGTCACTTCTGGGGTGACTCAAACCCAGTGACTCGAACCCATACTCCCAGAAGCAACGCAACTGGTATGTACAAGACGCCTTAATCCACTTGACCATCACGACCGGACATAATGAGGTGATAGCCTAAGCCATTTGAACCACCCCACCGCCGGCACTCGGATAGTAATCTTGGGCATAGCATTTCACCAAATCACCTCATTCTTTGGGGCACACGTGAGGAACACAAATGCGAACAAGCCTGAATGGTCCCCAGGACTATATGCGAATGAAAACTCACACCCCAGAAGTGACTCGAACCCATACTCCCAGAAGCAACGCAACTGGTAACTACAGGGCGCCTTAATCCGCTTGACCATCACGGCCGTCAAAAGGAAGTGATAGCCGAGGCTATTTGAGCCACTTCCCCGACGGCAACTCGGATGGTAATCTTGGGCATAGCATTTCACCAAATCACCTCATTCTTTGGGGCACACGTGAGGAACACAAATGCGAACAAGCCTGAATGGTCCCCAGGACTATATGCGAATGAAAACTCACACCCCAGAAGTGACTCGAACCCATACTCCCAGAAGCAACGCAACTGGTAACTACAGGGCGCCTTAATCCGCTTGACCATCACGGCCGTCAAAAGGAAGTGATAGCCGAGGCTATTTGAGCCACTTCCCCGACGGCAACTCGGATGGTAATCTTGGGCATAGCATTTCACCAAATCACCTCATTCTTTGGGGCACACGTGAGGAACACAAATGCGAACAAGCCTGAATGGTCCCCAGGACTATATGCGAATGAAAACTCACACCCCAGAAGTGACTCGAACCCATACTCCCAGAAGCAACGCAACTGGTAACTACAGGGCGCCTTAATCCGCTTGACCATCACGGCCGTCAAAAGGAAGTGATAGCCGAGGCTATTTGAGCCACTTTCCCGACGGCAACTCGGATGGTAATCTTGGGCATAGCATTTCACCAAATCACCTCATTCTTTGGGGCACACGTGAGGAACACAAATGCGAACAAGCCTGAATGGTCCCCAGGACTATATGCGAATGAAAACTCACACCCCAGAAGTGACTCGAACCCATACTCCCAGAAGCAACGCAACTGGTAACTACAGGACGCCTTAATCCGCTTGACCATCACGGCCGTCAAAAGGAAGTGATAGCCGAGGCTATTTGAGCCACTTCCCCGACGGCAACTCGGATGGTAATCTTGGGCATAGCATTTCACCAAATCACCTCATTCTTTGGGGCACACGTGAGGAACACAAATGCGAACAAGCCTGAATGGTCCCCAGGACTATATGCGAATGAAAACTCACACCCCAGAAGTGACTCGAACCCATACTCCCAGAAGCAACGCAACTGGTAACTACAGGGCGCCTTAATCCGCTTGACCATCACGGCCGTCAAAAGGAAGTGATAGCCGAGGCTATTTGAGCCACTTCCCCGACGGCAACTCGGATGGTAATCTTGGGCATAGCATTTCACCAAATCACCTCATTCTTTGGGGCACACGTGAGGAACACAAATGCGAACAAGCCTGAATGGTCCCCAGGACTATATGCGAATGAAAACTCACACCCCAGAAGTGACTCGAACCCATACTCCCAGAAGCAACGCAACTGGTAACTACAGGGCGCCTTAATC